GTGGGACGGGATGAAGAGAAGGAGGAAAATAATTCACCATATGTAATTCCAGTTTGCATTGACCAATCTGCTGCTTGTTCAGTTTTCCAGGTCCATGCTACCCAACTATCATCAGTCGTGTTTCTTCCGTCTCAAAATAATGTAGAGCTTACCCCAGACTACATATTAGCAACATCCAAAACAGAGAGTGTTAACGTTACGCTTCACCGAGAAGATGTAGTACTTACGGGAAAAAAGGGGAAAATGAGGGTAGGGGGTGGGAGTGGGGGTGGGGGGCGTTGGGAAGAGGAGACATTTGACTCACTGCTTTTTCATACACCCATGTTTGAGCTTCGAATGAACGTGCTAAATGATCTACATAATCGTTATCCCATTTACTTGGGTCGGAACCTGTTTTGGTTGAACAGTCCCCGGGAAATGTCAATCTGTCGTCAAGTTAAAAATTTCCCTTTCACTCAAACTTCATGATCCCCTCAACAAACTCGTCACATTTGAAGACTTCTCTAAAACTCCTGAACAGACTATCTTCCAGAAAGTCTCCAGCTTAATCCGTGCACCTAGATATGGATCATGGATCAAGGATGAAAAATCCTATTATGGGATGTTCCTCTCGGGCCAATTCCTAAGAAGTGATGTTCCCGCCGGCAAGGAGGACGATGAAGGATTCCGTAGGCTTATCTATGGAACAAGCAGTGTGAGCAAGTGTGGTGTTGAAACAGGATAGCAATACGAGAGAGCTAGTGGAGAGTAAATATGCTATGAAAGACAAACTCATACTCACGGCATACTCCCATTCAAAGTGTTATCATACCTTGCCCCTGTCCCACGTCCATTAAGCCACTTTGCACAATCCGTATTAGCAGCTCACATCTAAGCTCGTCCTCATAGATATCAATGAATTGGCTCACGAGTAAATTCTCCTACTATCGTCCAATGATCGTCATTCGAATCCATGAGGTATTGTTGTTGTGAACAAGTCCAATTGAGATTATCGTAATAGTTCATAGCTATGAGAGATAGGTCAAACCTGTTTTCAGCGCTGAGAATAAAAGGGAGACTTACATGCTGTAAATATGCTATCGGTCAGTTTCACTCCTATTCATCAAGATGTTGGGAGATGACGATCTGTGGAGATGGTTTTTTTGATCATTCATGACGATCATCTCATCGCTCGACATTTTTGTAGGATTGGGGACATCCAATTCAGGCATTCACAGTATATCTCAAGGCGTGATGACATCTGACGATACGAGCAGGGCAGCAGAAGAGTGAATCTGAAGGGATGAGGCGGAATCAAGTGAGAATTTGTCTGAGATGGGAGGAGATCATTTGGGATAATTCATAAAGAGGTGAATCTGCAAGGTGTTTTGGGGGGTTTGACGTGCGCTGGACTAGAAGTGTGGGAGCAGCAACGAGGGAAGATGAGAAAAGGTGAAATGCAGACAGCCGAGAAATAACCCACCGTATCCATAGCCACATCATGATAATCAGGTTCCACCATAAATCCTGTCCAAGCGTACAAACCCTGATACCCGTCATCCAGAGCTACAACCACCGTATTGGCCTGTTGGGCAGTTCTGACAGCTTGATAAGCTTGTGTATAAAACGATTGTAAGAACTGGACTTCGTCATTGGTATAAGGGAAAGGTTCGTTGATCAATTCGATAGCGAGGACAGTGTTGTTGTACTTTTCTTGTGTGAATTCGTGGGTAAGAACTTGGAGTGCGGTGAGAGTACGGTCCAGGTTGGTGGTGTTTGCAAACCATTGACGAGTTCCTCGGAGACCTCTGGGTCTTGTCAGCTTTCGTTAATGAGGTGATCACGGGACAACGGAATCAGCAGAGATGAGAAAGTGTATTTCGCTGTTGTGGACGTACTGAAAAGCGAATGACTAGCAAGGGTTACAAGGGTAGGCGGAAGAGCAAGGATGAGGAGGAGGGAAAGAGACAGAGACAGAAGTGGAGCGGAAATGGTACGAAGAAAAAAACGAACGAATTGTCAAACCCATTTTGCGACCCAGGAGCACCATGTAGATCAATCATAACTTTTAAATTCAACGTCGAAGCCCATTGTACGGCTTTTTTCAAATAATCGTATGCTCCTTCGAGTAAGCGCTTCTTCTTTCCTTCCTGATATCCGCTCTGCCGACTCACCGATCAAGTATGGTTCTCCATTTTGTAGTGGTATGACCGACCAAACTACTAATCAGCTTCCAACAAGTTCGTCAGAATAGCTTACAACCGATTTGTATACGTATGGTGTTTAGTCCCACTCGAGCTATACTGACTATCAGTCTTTCCCTCAGATTTCAATATCGTAAGTCAATCGTGCCCAGTGGAGAGAGGGGAGTAGACCGGTGGGTTGGTGGATCGGTGAGTCGAGTGAGTGGAGCAAGGGGAAAGTGGAGTGAAGAGAGAAATGACACACTCTTCCAATTCTGACAATTGAAACCATGTATTCCAATGTGTTTGAATTTCTCCATAGGTATTATTCTGAGTCAACATGTATTGTCCATAAGTCCATTCGTCCACTACCCAACTTGGTTTATGTGCGAATATTGATGGGGTGATCCATGGCTTTCATATTCAGCTTGGTTCAAATTCCAAAGTCCAAAGATTCTGACTCTATCGATGGGGTCAAAAAGATGATTTTTGTTATTTATGGTAGATGCCAGAAACAACAGTTGGGAGAGAAGATACAAAAGAGGCGGAGTGAGAGGTCGTAGGAATGAGGGTTCGGGAGATAAGGAAAATTTACTTCTAGAACTAACCTGATAATCAGTCCAGCTTTCATATCCAAGAAAAAACTCACCATCCACCAATATTAACCCCCCTCATAGGTTCTTTGCCCCACACGAAACCCGGAGCTTGTGTTGCCCTGGGTTGGAGGTCACCAGACGTGAGAGGAAAAGAAGCTGCTACATTCCGTGAGGGTATCGTATGACTATATATTCCTTCGAACCAAGTATGAAAACAAAGAAGCACGTACAACAGACGAGAGGGACGTCTTCGAGTATCGAAACTGGATGACATGAGTGACGGGGAGAGAAGTGATGTGATTGGACAAGTTAGAAGAGATGAGGTATTAGGGGAGTGTGGTATCTTAGGAAGAAGGGAATGAGGAGGCCTTATAGACCCGAAAAAAAAAAGGGAATCCTTATTTTTGGATAAACTGTAGGCAGGAAAAGGCGTGATGTAGGCGAGTTAAGACTTTTGGGTATGGAGAAGGAAAGATGGACGATCAGATGGTGGTTATCAGTGAAAACGTGGTCAACATGATCATGGTCAGAACTGAGGACGAGTCAGGGGTTTAGGATTGGTGAGAGGACCTTATTGTTCAGGTCTGTCAGTGGGAAATAAGGGTTGAGCATGGAGCAATTGGGGGGGAGACGGGATGATGTCGGAAGAAGAAAGAATTAAAGAGATCAAAAGGCGGAAAGAAAGAGGGGTCCTTTGAAACTTTTGTTCTCGTCATTAAGCATCATCACGGTGTTCATGGGTCTCAAGTGGTAGAAGAGGTTGTGAGGGGGTTGGAGATGATTCGAGTGGGTGAAGAGGAAGGAGCAAGGGAGAAAAGGGATGAATATAAGGTGTGACCGGTGTGAGAGGATTATGTACGTATGCAGTGTTATCTTATCGTCAGCCATACGAGCAACCGGAACATGTCTCCGATAAGCCTGCTATCAAATCGCCAAGACTTGATATCGTTATACGAACATCGTCATGCGTCAAGTATGTATATATTGCGACTCAACTCTTCATAGACATAGATCACCATGTCACTCGATGCACGTATATGCGTCATCACAGGTGCAGCCGGTCGTGAGTTTTTTTTAGAGCTCATACTACTTATAGTGCCCCGATACGATGGAATGTCCAAGACTGACCTTTTAGGTATCGGCCGTGCTATAGTCGAGCGATTTCAACAAGAAGGAGCGACCGTTGTAGCTGTTGACATCCTCTCCGTCTCACTACCCGGAGTCGACAATGTCATCTGCGATCAAGGTGACCCTTCCAGCATCCAAGCACTCGAACAACATCTCAAACAAAAGTACGTCCATCCTACTTGATCGGTGCTGAAGATTAGATACGGGCGGATTGACTGTCTCATCAACAATGGTGCGTTGGGAGGATACACATGTCCAATACACGAGAAACCATTGGAAGAATATGACGATGTCATGCGTGTCAAGTGAATTCCTCTTTCTACTCAAGTTGATTACGCTGATGTCCAAGTGTAAGAGGACCTTTTTTACTCATTCAAGCCGCTCTACGACTTCACTTGTCTAATCCTTCGAAAGAATTATCGATCATCAACATGGCTTCTATAGCTGGACATAGACCAGGAGCGGGAAATTCGGTATATTCAGTTTCGAAACATGGTCTTATAGGTCTCACCAAGGCCGCAGCTAGCGAATATGGGGGACAGGGAGTGAGGTGTAATTCTATCTCGCCAGTGAGTCTACGCTACTGTGGTATGCAGATCCCTGAATAAATTGACGCAACAGGGGATGATGGAGGTACCGAACGTACAAGGTATCTTGCCAGAAGTGAGTCTACCTGGGGAGGTCAAGGTTGCAGGAGGGAAGTTGACATGGTAGAGATTCGAAAAGGGTGCAGAGACAATACCTCTACGTCGACGTGGCAAACCGGTTGAAATTGCGGAGTTGGCAGTTTTTCTAGCTTCGGACAAAGCGAGTTACATCAACGGAGCGGACTATCTAGGTGAGCAGTACTGTACTCAACATGATTAAGTATGTAGAGGATGGGAGGTACAATGCTGATGGTTGCAGTGGACGGAGGGCGGATGGTTGTCTGATCCCTAGGGTCATTGGTGATATTTATTTATGTGAATTTATGCAGTTATATCCCGGTGCCGGATGATCCACGTGTCATTATGCCAGCAAAGCTTATCACTCCGTACACCAGCTTGTGTGACGCGTTAGACGATTTGGGTGGAAGAGAGCACTTCCTTCTGCACTTTCTCACATTCACTAAACCTCTCTTTTTCCCTCTCTATATATTCAGCTCTTCCTATACAGATCTTCGACATTTCTCTATTATATTTTTGATACCCGGGGTTCATCCCAGAGATTGACGATGAACGCCGCCGAACTCCTTAACAACTCTCTTTCACCCGGTAAGTTTTGCCGCTCATTCCCCTCCAGCTCTCCAGAACGGGGACCTCGTAGAAGGATTGATCAAGCTGACGATGATGTAGATCAGGCCACTCGTGATTCAGCTACTCAACAGCTCGAAGCCGCTGAAAAAGCAAACTTTGTGAGCATTTCATGAAAACGTAAAAGATAGCCCGGCTCACGGACCTCCTTTCCTTCTTCACTCCACTGATCTCCCATATACAGCACGCATACCTTCATACTCTCGCCGCCGAACTCGCCAAAGAAGATGCCCCTCTTCAAGTCAGGTCAGCTGCAGGTTTAGCTTTCAAGAATGCTATCCAAGCTAGGGTCAGTACATGTCTAATCACCACAAGGGATCATTCTGATCTTATAGAATGCCGTTAACCAACCCATCCTCACCGAACGATGGATGGCCCTTCCCCTTTCTGCCACTGCTCCTCTCAAACAATCCCTCCTCTCAACTCTTGGCTCTTCTGCTCGTCGTGCTGGCGCTGTCGCTGCTCAATGCGTTGCTGCCATTGCAGCCGTCGATCTTCCAGAGGACAAATGGCCAGAGTTGATCGCTCTCCTCCTGGAATTTGTCGGAAACCAAGAAAATGTCAATCTCCGAGTGGCCACTCTGCAAGCCGTAGGATATATATGCGAGGTCGTGGTAAGTCCAACTGATTCAATCAGTTTTCAAAACTGACTGCCAGCAACCTGAAGTTCTTTCCGCTCGATCTAACGAGATTTTGACGGCCGTCGTGCAAGGCGCCAGGAAAGAAGAAACCAGCACCGATGTTCAAGCTGCCGCCATCCAAGCATTATACAATTCCCTCGACTTCATACGAGATAACTTTGAAAGAGAGGGCGAACGAAACTACATCATGCAAGTGGTCTGTGAGGCCACGCAAAATTCATCGGTCACGGTTCAAGTGGGTGCTTTCGAATGTTTGGTGCGGATTATGAGCACGTATTACGACAAGATGGACTTTTACATGGAGAGGGCCCTTTTCGGTCTGACCATTATGGGAATGAGACATCAAGAGGAAGCCGTGGCATTGCAAGCCATCGAATTCTGGAGTACTGTCTGTGACACGGAGATTGATTTGGCCATCGAAGCTCAAGAGGCGAGTGATTCATGTTGGTCAGGTATTTTGGCTGATGTCAGGCTGAGGAATATGGTGAACAACCTGTCACTTTATCGAAACACTTTGCAAAGATGGCAATGTCGGAAATTCTCCCTGTTCTTTTAGACCTTCTCACTCAACAAGAGGAAGATGCAGACGAGGACGACTGGACACGATCGATGGCTGCTGGTGCTTGTTTGGAGCTCATGGCTCGGAATGTCCAAGATCCGATTGTACAGCCCGTGGTTCCATTCGTCGAGGCTGGCATCCAAAGACCCGAGTGGCAAAATCGGGATGCGGCAGTCATGGCTTTCGGAGCTATTCTCGATGGTCCTGATCCTTCAACCCTGGCTGGTCTCGTTCGACAAGCTCTTCCCGGTTTGATCGACATGTTACGAAGTGATCCTAGTGTTCAAGTGAAGGATACAGTGGCATGGACGCTGAGCAAAGTTACCGAAATCATGCTCCAAGTGATCGACCCAGTCGCTCAACTTCAACCACTCGTCACAGCTCTCGTCTTTGGGCTCACTGTTTCTCCAAAAGTCGCCAACTCATGTTGTTCCGCTCTGAGCAATCTCGCCGCTCAGCTAGCACAACCTTCCGATATGGGCGATGAAGCTTCCACTTCCATGCTGTCTCCATTTTATTCTGGCGTCATAACCAGTCTCATGCCGCTCTCGGAAAAACCGACCAACGAAGCGAACAGTCGGACCGCGGCATACCAAACCATAGCCAACTGGATCGCTGCTTCAGCTCTGGACACTCTCAGCGTCGTCGAAGCTGTAGTAGTCGCCATGCTCACACGACAGGAGGCTTTGATCGGTATGCAAAATCAACTCGTCGGATCAGACGATCGGAACAATTGGATCGACATGCAAATCGGGATCAGTATCGTTTTGCAGAGTGCCCTCAACAGGGCACCTCAATTAATCACCCCATTCGCGGATAGGATCATGACCAACCTTCTTCAACTCTTAACTTCATCCGGTACGCACTCTGGAGTATTGGAAGATGTTTTCGCCATGATCGGGTCTATAGCCGGAGCCCTCGAAGCTGGTTTCGTCAAATACATGCCCACCGTACAACCTTTCATCATCACAGCCCTCACCTCTTTACAGGATTATCAAGTTGTTCAAGCTGGTATATACGTAGCCGGTGATATAGCCAGAGCAATGGGAAATGAGACGAGACCGTTTGCAGAACCGTTAATGGTCGCTCTTGTGGATATTCTTAGAAGTCCCACAGTTTTGAGAAGTGTCAAGCCAAGTGCGGTCACTGCTATAGGTGACGTTGCTATGGCAATAGAATTTGCGTTTTTGCCGTTTTTGGAAGGGACGTTGAGTATCATGGCTCAAGCTGGATCAGTTACCGCCAGTCCGGACGATACGGAGCTGTTGGAATTCGTCTGGGCCATGCGGGAATCTATCATCGACTGCGCTATCGGAATTTTCAACGGTATAAAGGGTATGCATTGTAAGTTTTCAAATTTTTGTGACGAAATTAGGGATTTATCACTTTTCCTTCCTGCTCCTTGTCACGTAATCCATCAACAAGGGTAAACCCCACAAACAGGGGTTTCTGTTCACGCCAAAGAAGAGATTGATGTATTACGAGAAAGACCGATGCTGATTATGCAGTGAACACTTTCAAAAATCATGTTGTTGAAATGGTCAATTTTTCCAAACATTGTTATTCCGATCCCACATGTACCGAAACTTTCCTTGCGTCCATGTTAGGATTGATCGGTGATCTCGCAAAGGAATTTCCGGAGGCGAGGAATGAGTTGAGAGAGGAATGGGTTCAAAGGGCCATTTCACAAGGAAGAGTGAGAGGAAGTTCGAAACGGACGAGAGCGAATGCTGCGTATGCGGCGAAGGTGAGTTTGTCAAAAAAAAATCTCTTCATCTCCTATAGGTCTTTGCACATCACTCACTCCTTTACAATGTCTAAATAGTCGTCTATCCTCTCATTCTCTCTATGTGCTATGTGTCATCCGATAAGTTGATAAATCTCGAACACATAACTGATCCACAGACCATTAGAGAGCTTCAAAAATAAACCCCTACAACCATCCCACCCACTGTGATCTGTCTGTACCAATCCCCCGATCCCCCGATCCCCCGATCCCAACTCCCTCACACTCTACCCTGCATGGTCCATCACCTCATTCTAGTATATTTTTTGGGTCTTTGGCCGCGCTCTATTGTCCAAGGACGATATCGCCGTCTTTTACCCTGTGACATTTGCATCGTACTAGAAAAGAAAAGAAATTGCATATTGTTCTAGTCCATACTCTCGTCATAGGCTTCTGTAACGTTCCTTCAGATTATCAACTCACTCATCCTGCGGTTTGATAACTCGGTCCGACGGTCTACTTCTTCCATCTAATTCTCTTCACCTTCCTTCACAAAGACAAATAATCTTTTACCGTTCTGGACTGTTCCTTGTCCCACCACATCATCACTGTCCATTCTGGTCCATCCCATCCGAGAGGGATGTCAATCTAGACGAAAACACCGTCAGTAGTAACCTATTTCAACAACGCCTACCAACGCCTTCCATCCATTCTTACTTTTATCCGAGACGTTACATAGTCCCAGACGTACATGCCATCACAAGTCACTTCCTCCATTGAACGTATCACCAACCTTTATTAACATAATCGACTCGATGAATATCTGTCGTATAAAGGTAACGCGGCCGGTCGTCAAGACCGTCGTCATGTCATTTCCTTATCGTCCTGTATCAACCCTTCATGATGAAAAGGAAGTCTGTATCCAGGGAACGACCGGGCGTAGTGAAGATTGTATCTGCGATTCCATGGCTGACTATACTAATTAACTGCTTGATGTAACTGATTTCTGACTTTTTTCTATCTTACATTTCAAGTATCACGGCTGTGATTTTGGTGATTCGAGTCAAGAGCGGTTCTTACGGTGAGTGTGAAAGAACGTCATTGTTTTCATATACGTCTGACGGTGAGTTGAACTTCACTGTTATCACGTTGGTCTTCAAAGCGGTCTCGGGGTTAGTCGAGTGTACGCCACTGCTTCCATTTAGGTTGTTGAACCGGTCTCACGGTGACTTACAAAAACGTAACAGCCCTCGACATAGACTCTTTCACGGATATAGAGTTGGTAACTCACGAGAAAGAGAAGATAAAAACTTCAATATCGACTCTTTCGTCATCACAGGGCTCAAGTAGACAACTCAGGGTCCTAGGGTAATTAAACGTGAGTAGTTTTCCAATCAGCTTGAATAGCTCTCGGGTTGAAATTGAGTGGGTAAAGGCTGTAGGGTGGCTGATGATATTATAGATTTGTCGAGTTTCAAAAGGTTTTTCTTGACCTTCAGAATTACACTTGAGATCATCGGTAGACAAAACCAAAGATCATATTACTCTGTTAGTATTCGGATTTGGTAAATTGACAAGATTGCCAAAAATCATACCAGTTCGACGTCTTTGATCACTTTCACCACAACTCCCACGGCTTAGAATCATACACAGAAACCTCTCATCTTACACTTCACTTCCATTCACTGAATACCATCGCACCTCACATTTACTACTCATCGCACCTTCACCTCCTTTCATCCATATCACACCTCATACCTCACTTGTATTCACCTTACAAATTTTGACTCGTATCCATTCACTCGACAAATCCCAATTTACATCCGTTCGTTCATTTGACACCTATCGCTCATTTGACTATTCCAAAACCTCGATCAAAGAATCAACCGACAACCCTCTCAAGTGATTTTCATCTTCTCAGTCGACCAAAGAGGATTAATCAACAACCCTCGCGAGTGATAATCATCTTTTTAGTGGACCAAAGAGAATCAACCAAAAACCCTCTCGAGTATTCATCTTCCCAGTCGATCAGACGTTCAACCGACTCAATATTTCTTGTTGAATAGACGTTACACAAGGTACATATATCACCACTGATCGAGCAGAACGACGCAGAGAGACGCAGTGAAGGCAGAAAAAACAAAATTGTTTACCAAAAAATGTCAAGCTCGAAAAGATCCCCTTCACCACCAGAAGACGAAACGTCAAGTTCGAAAAAAGCGAAAGGAACCCCAGGACAAAAAGCTAGGATACCTGTAGAAGCTAAAGTCATCATTGCTGTGGAGATTATCATGAAGGGTTTAGCGACTATCAATGTTGATGAATTGGTCGAGAAGGTGAGCTGAGTCCTCTTTCCCTTTTCTCCTAGACCTATATCATTATCCTTGAGTCGCCCAAATGGCTCTCTACTCACAAGTACCTCTCTTCTCCTCCCATATCATGTTGCTTCCTTTACACATCTTTGTTGTCACTGTTGAGTTGAGGGCGTACATTCTTTCTACACTTTGGACCTGGACGCGTGCTTGACAATTTATGACTCCCCCTACTTTGTCTGTAGCAGGTTTCGAATTGATGTTGGTGGGAGATGATTCTCAGGTGGAAACGAGGCAGTCTCGAAGGAAGAGAGTCGGGGAAAGTACAGCTGTACAGAAAAGATGGGAGAAGAAGACGTGGGGATTTTTACTGACGGTTTAGACCGGTTTGACAAAACAACAGATCAAAAGTCAATTAGCCGATAATAGGCAGAACGTTAGGAAACAGCTTATTGAGCTAGCAAGAACTTTGACGTGATCCGTGTCAGTGGAGCGGAGAAGCGGTTCAAATGTTGAGAGGTAAAGGTTCATACTGGCTTAGTCTAGCGAACGAAATGTCGGGGTTGGCGATGATGGTATCGGAGATTTTGAGGGTTAAACGATGTGACCGGAAGGGGAGAGGTTGGTTGGGATAGCGAGAGGTTTCTTATCGATCTTCAAGTGTGGGGTCAATGAGATTATGGAGTGACGGATGTCTCGTCGCCAAACGATTATGCTAGAGACAAGTGGTAGTAGGTGTATGAGCTTGAGAGGGCCTCGCAATGGAGACGCAGAGGTCGGTGGGTGGAGAACGAGGGACTTGATCTCATCGAGGTCTTTTCGTTTGGGGTTGGAATTGGAGGAGTGCAGTTAGTGTCTACAATAATACCTTTTCATAAATTTGACTTGCATCTAATTTCTTCTCCATCATTTACGTACGAACGAACACTCATTCTCATTTCAGTTCGACCTACTCACTATCGTCAACCCATCACGTCATCTCTAATACTTATGTGTCCACATACTTATCCTCTGACTGATACCTTCCTTTCATTCATCTCCTCTTTCTTTTTCTATCAAAGGAAAGCATGGCTAAGAGATATATGTACCAATAACGTGGGAAATCTGACATATCGTTCATCTCTTCTCCTCCTACTTCCTTCTTAGTTATCACACAATCCCCCTCTCCCTCTCTATCTCACACTAACATATCTTATCGATCCTGATACGTTGTAGAAGAAGATCATTCTTTATCAACATTTCAGTTCTCACCGTGAGTCCTCATCGTGAAAAGAAATATTCTCTCCATCCCACGCGTCACCAAAGAACAACTTCGTTTTAAGTCTGCTAGTGGGGGTCTCAGATCATGAAGAGGTAAGAATTGAGCTGACTAAAGAAAGATGGACCAAACGTTCATTTTCGCGATGATGGCACAAGGAATCTTACAATCTCTTCCATCAGAAACGAAGGACTCCACCGCGACTTCAGTCGCAGATGACGCTGTACGATGTGAAATGAATCATGATGTCGTGGAAACAGGAGGAAAGAACAAGGACGAAATAGTGAAAAGAACGAACGACGAGGAAAGGGATGAAATTAATGAAAGAGACAAAAGAGAGAAAGTGGAGATGAAGGAAAATGGGAAAGTGGGGAGAATAAATCCTACTTTTCTATCTACGCAGGCGCCTGGTGTACCAATCAGAGATGTAGGAGAGAAGAAGGATGATAAAATTACATTGAGTGAATCTCAAAGAGAGGAAATGAGAATGGATATAGAACAAAACAACAAGGTGACATGGTTGGATAAAGTCAAAACTTGGTTTTATGTGCCTAAAAACTCAGAAGGTAAATTGGAATGATATCGCTGGAAAGGATCACATGGTCACTGTAACAAGTATTACTCCCTGTAGCACTAGGTAAGCTTGGTATATATATGCACGAAGCCTGTAGAAGCTCTATTAGGGACGGATCGGGTTAAACGGGACGGACTGCACACGGAAGTTACTGCATCACCCTATTTTAAAACTTTCAACAACTATATACATCCATCAATCTCTATAATCCCCACTTGGATCTACGGAGATCATAGAAGTGCCGCAAAGGCAGAAAGAAGGACCAGAGCGAGTGCGGGGACAGCGATTTGTGAAGCACTGTGGATTAGTATCACGTACACATGTTTATTTATCAAAAGTATTACTCTTTTTCCACATTACTAAACAAGGATGGAGTGATGAGGATGGAATTTGGTACACCACACGATTACAATGACGAGTTTGAAGAATGATAAAGGATGATAGAGTAGGCGAATTTAAACACGATGGAGATGCAAACGCGGGGATTGTGAAAAGAAAAATTAGCTCACCCTGATGAAGACGAGCCGTAAGGACCAGAAGCAGATCCGCTACCTGTTGCTGAAGCTGACGAACTGGCAGATGCACTAGCACTGGCAGATGCAGATCCACTAGGAGTACCTCCAGTTCCAGTGGAGTTACTGCTTCTATTACTCGTCAATCCAAAGCCGATGAGAAAGTGAGACGACACTTACGTTGAGGTACTCTTTCCCTCTGCAGCTTGTTGGAAAGCGGTAAAGGTGTTGCCTTTCGATGGGGCGTTTATACTAGTTGTCAGATCGGCCATCTCAAAAATGATAGGAGACCTTGTACCAGGGTTGTGGCAGGGTAGAGGAGACGTGCGGCAGGAGAGGCAAGTTGCGAAGGAAATGATTCGAGATGAATTGAGGTAATTGTGCGAGGAAAACGTTTGGCAAAGGTGAGAGGAGTAGGAGGGGGAGTGAAGGGGGCTGAAAGTAATATGAACGACTTAGACACTCACGCAGCTACCATACCCTGTTGACAATGTCCAACCTGTGCGCAGTAGATCCAAATGGGACTCGTGCTGTTGACCAAAATCGAAAACTGACATTAACAGTTGATTCGACACTCAACATGACCAACTCCTGACATGACGAGTTGAAAGAGATGAGGCAATTTAACATAGATGAGACCCTACGAAAAAGTGGATGAATCCAAAGAGTGGCTTATGAGAATAAATGAGTGAATTTGGGGTCTGAGATACAAAGGCGGCTTACAGTAGGGGGATTAGCAGAGCTACCAGGCATGAAACCCGAGTTGAATCCATTTGCCATTGGAGAACATGGGGCAGCGAAAGTTGATTGGGTAACTGATATGCTCAGTAATGTCAGGCTCGGGAACACGGATATTACTGACCGGTATGGTCACCGGAAACGAATTGAAAGCTGTATGTCAGTCATGCTCATGATTGAAATCAGAAGTTAAAGCCGTCTAGTTCTACGCGGACAAACATTCACGGCATTTGTTGGGTCAAAAAAGAAGGACTCTTTTGGGTTAGGAGTAAGAGAATGACTCGAAAGGTCAGGACTGTGAATAGGGACTAGCAAGCTGAGATAAGGAAAGAATTGACTCACTCGACTGTATCGCCGACAGAGGCGTTGATAGATGGTGGTGTGAAAGTCTGTCATGTTAGCTGAAACTCTATAACACAATATATCATACAGTATCCCAATCTCTTGTCACATCATATGACTAGGAACGGTACCAAAAAGGGATGATGGAGTGATGGTACGAGCACATCTTGTACCAATGAAAAGAAGGTTTGGAGATACATGAGAGAGAGATAAAGGTTGGAACATACCAATGCACCGTTGGCTCCCACCTGAATAGTCTGGGTAGCTCCAAGAACAGAAGTAGCAGCAAGTGCGATAGTCAAGATTGAACCAAACATCTTTCCTCGTTTTCTTTTGTTTTCTGTCAAGCAATTAGATTAAAATGTCGCAATGGGGAAGTAGTTGGATTTTGAGAAATAAGTGGGCGAGACAAAGTGTTTATAGCTTTCGAAAGTTGGGGGTGGGATAATGGAGGACCTTTCAGGAAATGGCTCATTCCTCATGCGTCTTCATAGTCGAACGATGAAACGGGGCGTCCTTCCGGCCTTTGAACTTGGTCGATCACTCGGAGACAGATAATGGTCCGTTGTCGGGGATACGGTCAAACGTTGTGTGTGTTGTTTCGGGTTAGAATTGAGTTGCAAGTCAGTGTAGAGTCAGCGGAGTCAACTAGGTGGAGGTGAATGGGGAAAGGCAAGGGGTAAGTGAGTAAGCGACAGGAAGGTAACTTGGAGATGATACAAGTAGGTATAAGAATACAGTACCTGAAGGGATGATACGTTGGAGACGGGCGTACCAGGTACTGAGCGTTGAGACATGGGTGTCTCTGAGAGATAAGGAGGTATAAGGGTAGTGGGAGAGAAGGAGTTAAATTGTTGTCAAGTAACGAATTCTCGTCACTTGGTGCTGAAATGTCTCCTCAGATACCTCATGATACCATGAGGTACCAACTGGAAGATCAAGAAAGAGTCCTTTCTTACAGGTCCCGAGAACCAGAGGAGCACCGCAATTCACCATCAAACGATCTAGACCTCTTGTAGAATCTCCGACATTTTCGGATTCTTTGAATCTCGGCGGAACGGCGGTAACCACTCTGATAAAAGCAGTCTGTTAATCTGACAAATTTGAATTCGCTACCGAACCGCCACGCTTTTACATTACTCGTTTTCTCTGCACAGTGCCCCTTGAACATGTTCTCGGGGTTCCGGAATTCCGGGAGGGAAGAGAAAGGCT